TCTGAACGATCAGGTACATATATATATCCAGCCAAGTATATGTGGGCAATTCTAATACTTTCTACTTTATTATGCCTCAATTTTACATTAATTCAGATTTTCTAGAACTGTTTGTCCACTACAGTGACCCTTTGGGCTGCTTTCATCAGAGAAATCTGTGTATCGATAAATTCTGCAGTCATACTAGTTTCATCTAACAGAGAAACTATGATCTCTTGGCTTCATCCCAGGGCATATAATGTGTATATTTTCTTACTATAATATTTTGAAGATCTAAATTAAAGGAGATTATTTCAGGATCAAATAATATGTTAAATACCTTTTGGTACTTCCAATAATGAAAATCCCTTAAATGGAATCCCAAGGTGGCCACCTACTACATGAAACCACAATAAGCTAGAACCTATAATTAACTGAATGTTTTCTTACTTTTTCTTTCTAAAGGAAAAAAAGTATATGACTAGAAAACAAGCTGGTTCCATTAATTTTTATCCTAAAATCAATTACAACCATAGGTCCTGGCTCAGCAAACCTATAACTCAATTATGCACAGTTTTAACATTTATAGTACTACACAACTGGCACTGATGTTCAAAGTGATCTATTTGAAGCCCTATAAGATCCCCTATCAAATACTTAAAAAGCATAGGCTCTAGGGTCAGATGAGATCTGGGCTGAATCCTGACTCTACTGTTTTATAACTTGCTTTATGACCTGGAGTAAGTTATCTAAGACCTTCTAAGTCTCAGTTTTCTTATCTGCAAGAATGGGGATAAGGTTACCTATCTCACAGTTTTTGAGGGGTGAAATCTAATAATACACACAATATGCTTAGCAGAGTGCCTGACAAAGAGCACCAAAATATTCAATAAATGTTCTGGGGTGGTGGTGGTGGTAGTAGAGTAATAGTGGTAGAAAATAGTAAGAAAAGAAAGCTAACATGATGATAAAAACTTAAAGAGCGTCTACATAAATGTTTACAATTAACAGCAATGTTTAACAGCACTACGTCCCTGAATTTCAAGGTAACTGAATCTTCTTATACCAAAATCTGCAAGATATGAAGGCTCAAATGTTTTATTAAGCCTATAATGAGAGTTCTGTATTACATCTTCTCAACAAGCATTTGAATGTAATTAACCTCAGCAACATTTTTAGTTAAATTAGTATTGTTGTTGTTAGGTACTGTCGAGTCAATTTCGACTCACAGCAACACCATGTAACAGAGCAGAACTGTCCCACAGAGTTTTCTAAGCCGTACCTTTACGGGAGCAGACTGCTAGGTCTTTCTCCTGCAGAGCCATTGGGTGGGTTTGAACTGCCAGTCTTTCAGTTTCGGCAGCCAAGCGCTTAACTGTTGCACCACCTGGGCTCCTTAAATTAGTATAGATCACACAAACTATATATAATATTTCACTTATTACCATTCATTTTTATTGCTAATAGACAGTAGAATTTTCATGAGTAATGATTAAAAATATTTATGTCCTAATAATTCAAATTGCCCAATTTTGCAAGAATTTTGGCAGTAAAATCATTTAAAAGATTACATAATCAACAAATGTATAAAAGATCCATTTTAATAATCTCTGTAGTAATATACAGAATTATGCAATGAGCCAAAATTACCCGTTGTGTAAATTACTCCCTGGGTTCAAAAGAGAAGATCAAACTTTGGGATTTTTACATTAATATTAGATACTTTGTAGCCCTAATATATTAACTAGAACCCTCTTTGAATAGAGACAGGAAGATGTTTTCGTTTTAAAAAGAACAAAATTATGTAGAAAGATGTTATCACTTTGATTCCAAATCCTGAAAAACAGACTATCCAATGGTCATTATAAACCAGGGTTGTCAATTCTGGTGCACGGAAAATCACCTAGATAGCTTTAAAAAAATACAGATGCTCTGGCTCTACCCTATAGGGAGTCTGAATTAACTGGAATAGGCGGGGTGCAGAACATTTTTTTTAAAGCTCTCCTGGGGTTCTAACATGCAGCCAGGATTCAGAATCAGTTATATATAAACTATAAATGGTTAATGGGGAACAATGATTATGGAAATTTTTAAAAAAAGAAAGAAAGAATGGTATAAAGTATCAAGATACATCTGGTAATATCCTGGATAATTCACAGATTCCATAAATATGTATTAAGATGTACGTACGTCATAGTTCTTGCCCAAGACATTTAAATCTCAATAGAAATAGAGAATAAGTAACAATAAAACATGGCAAAGTATTGTGAAATTTCATTAGCATATAAACAAAGTGCTCTGGGAGTTAAAAAAAAGTTTATACAGAAAATAACTTCAAAGTCAAAAAATTACAAAAAGAATGAAAAAAAAGAAACTATACATAAGCATCATTTACTACCACTGACTAGAAAAATATGCTACCTTGTTAGATTGATAGTACACTAAAAGGTGGTACACAAATAAAACTATGAAAATTGCATTTAAAAAAATAGAGATTTGAGTTTGTATTAATTTGACTATTACAAGACTTTGGTGTGAAAGTTTAAGAGCAATATAAAGAGCATCATAGCCAAAAGCAAAATCTGGACTAAGATCTATAAAAGGAAAAGACTATTAAAGAATTCAATAGAATTCTCTGGTTGTTCTACTAAGAGAAGGAGTTCTTACTCTAAGTAAGATCCTATGCTTTCTAAGTCCCACAAAAATTACTAAAATCTGGTCTCTGGTATGAAAGAGAGAGAGAGAGTAATGAACGAAATCCAAGTACAATATCTGTTATCTCCTATTGGGAGAACCTAACCATTTTAATAAACTAAGGAAAACACAATTTATACCACTAATACTTACAGTAAAGAGACCAATAATATACATTATCCTGATTGATCAGAAAAAGAACCTAGAAGGGTCAAAACTAATTCTTATGTTTCCAAATAAAGTTAAACGGCCTTAAAAATATCCATGAAGCTATACAAGACAAGTAACTAATGTTGATAATTAACAACCTTATAACAAAAGGAAAGATAAAGTCAAGAAAATAAATCATCAGGTAGAATTTGACAGAAATTAAATTAAAAAAAAAAAAACTAGGTTACAATATGCCAGCCTTAAACTATTTCAAGTACAGGTCAGTATTCTTCCTTGATTAGAAAAACATTTTCATTTAGAGTACTCTTTTGCAGAAAAAGATGTTTATCAGAAGTTATAAAATCAACACAAGTTCTGATACCAGACTTTTATACAGTTATATCCATACTGAAACTGACACTTGATAAGCAGCTTTACAGAAGATGCTTCACATGAAGAATAAATACTCTTTACACATGTGTAGCTTCTAAAATAATAATAGTAGAAAGAGGTTTGAGCAAAATGTAGATAATCAGAACAATTTGAAAGTCTTAAAAAATCACATGCACTTTTTTAGGAAGAATGTTTTGTTCTTTGAGTTAAGGTACATGCAAAAAAAAGTAAGGTTGAAACTAAAGGTAAATTCTTCTGTGGGCTCAGGATAAATACAAGATTATAAATTTTACATTCTGTCTTCCAATAAGTCAAACTATTGGGAATAAATATACATCTTTGTTCTTAAAGTGTTTTTCTGGATAGCTTTGGATAACTATACTTTTTATCAACATTGGGCATAAACTTATGAATCAAGGAAACAAAAAACAAATTAAAAAAAAAAAAACTGCACCATCTTTGGGGTAAAAATTAGAACAGTTTTAGAATTTGTGCCTAGCAGCTAAGCAGTCAATCTTTGATTATATTTCTCAGCACTGTCCTATCCAGACGATAAAGCACTCTCATCTTTAACCTTATAAAACACAGCTTCGGTCACTACAGGAAGTCCATTTTTCTAAAGTAAGAAGTGACAAAATTAAGACTATTTATTAAATATATATAAACCACACACACCCACACATTCGAAAAGGATGTGAAATATTTAAAATTTCAGAGGTGAAAGAGAAATTAAAAATCACTTAGTCACCCTGGGTTCCATGCTGGGGGATCTATGTTGTTATTGTTGTCGTGTGCCCTCGAGTTGATTCTGACTCATAACAATCCTATAGTAACTTTTCCGGAATATATTCAGCACCCCTTAAGTTACTGAATGGAGCCCTGGTGGCGCAGTGGTTAAGCGTTCAGCTGCTAACCAAAAGGTCAGCAGTTCAAATTCACCAGCCACTCCTTGGAAACCGTATGGGGTAGTTCTACTCTGCCCTACAGGGTCGCTATGAGTCTACTCAACGGCGGCGCGTTTAGTTTTGGGTTTTTTAAGATACTAAATTCATCTTGCATAAAATTTCTTTGTACTCATTTAGTAGTGCAAGGTTTGGATGAGTTTCCTAATACATAGGAACTTCTACATGGACACTGCTAACCTACTCAAATGAATGAAATGCAGATGGCTTATAATCAGTCTATCTATAAATTAAACATTCTTTATGTGATTTCACATAAAATAACTAAGGGTAAAAGAAAGAAGGTAATTTACCCTCTTGAAGGTATTTTTAAAATAACAACTTAGAGAAATTGGGTTTTTTTCCATTTCCATGTGGAATTTTTTGCAATGTGATAAAAAGACTACAAATCAGAAACAAATTTTATTTATTGTTAGATTTTAAACCCACTAGAGGGCTTTTTAAATAAACTTAAATATACTGGCATTCCTCTCTCCACCTTGATCTATCATCTTGACATAAAACTATTTCAACATTTGCAAAATGTTATCATTTTCAAAGCTATTATCATTTTCAAAGCTATAACTGGTCTTTCATTTATTTCATCCACTAGAAATGGATGCTTATCTATCCAAATGTCTCTATAAATATCATTCCTTGTGTTTTTTGTTTTGCTAATACTAAAATGTTAGAATGATAGTATTACTAAACAGATCAGTCTGGAAGAAAAAATACCAACTTAACTCTGAATACATTCCCACTTCTTAAGCTGACATTACATGCTAAGATTTATCCTTTAAAAAATTCTAACATTATTTCTAATGGCTTACTTAATGGACATACCGGAAACTGTGAATGCCCTGAAGTTCCTGCTGTAGAACCTCTTGTGTTGTTGCTATTAAGTCCAACGCTCCAACAAATTCAGAAGTAGATAACAACACCTGTACAGTAGGCTGAGTCTGGTGTACCGTGGCCATTAACTTCAGTTTATTGTACACTTTGACACAATTATTTCTGGTAAGTGCCAGTCTTAAAATGTGTAGTGATCCTTCACACATTACTTTATCAATCTGTGCAATTTTCTCTCGAAGCATTTTTACAGCCTGGGAAGTTTTCTTGAGGTAGTCCTGCAATTCGTGTTGAGAGGTCATTGCACGAAAAAATGCTTCTGAACGTAGAGAGATCTGGTGAGCAATGTTTACTTCCACAATATCCAGATAATGGCTCAGCTTAAGAGGGAAGGAAAAAAAAAAAGGAGTATTATAAATATATCTTCCTTGACTATCCAGATAATTTCTGAAAATGAAAATAAGACTTCTACATATATTTTAAATTCCATTTTGTGAATTAATTGTTTGATTATGGGACCCTGAAAATTGGGCAAAACAAAATGGAAGAGAGATGAAAGGTACAACCAACTTCAAGATTAATAAATACGAGACAAGACAAAAGGGTAAAGAAAGAAGGTGATTTACCTTCTTCCTCTGCTCCTGCCATTAACACCCTCCAAACACCAGCAACTTTCTAGCCATCTCCGATTGTAATTATAGTTTCAGAAGTTCTAGTATCTGCGAGAATGACCTCCTTAGCCCCCACACATCATAAGCATCACCATTATCTGACTAAAATACGATTACAGTTACCTGACCTCTCCCTTTTATGTACTAGGTACTGGTGTTTTATACATATCATTCTCTAATTTTAACAATCCTAGAAAACAAGTATTATTATTCTTCTCATTTTACAGATGAGGAAACTAAGACTCAGAGACATTAAATAACTTGAATAAAAGCATGTGGTTAGTAGGTGGCAAAACTAAAATTTGAACCCACGTCTGCCTAACTCAAAAGCTGAAGCTTTCTCTACTATACTATGTTGCCTCAAAATGTTAAAGAATCCATAAAAGACAGATTGGTGGTCCAGTCACAAATTACAGATACACTAGAATTCATTTGGAATTTTTTTTCAAGATTGCTTATTTCACATTTCAAGAATTGATAAATTATTTTATCAATCTGTAAAATTCCATTTTATTTCCAATGTATTTTTCTCTTAAAAAAATTGACAAAATGCCTTTAATAATCAGTTCACATATATTTCATTTGTAATACTATCAAGATTAGTTCTTATGGTAATGTATATTTAAAATGCTTTCTAATTTCAAATATGAACTTCTAAAATTTGATTTTTTTCTTCCTTTCTAACTGCATATGCCTTTTGATTATATTATCTTTCTCTTCCACTTTTTTACTTTTAAGATTTTTCAACCTGTAGCTCAAACTTTAAGCATTCTCTCTGAATATCTTGGGAGAATTCATAGGGTTAAACGGTTAATGAACTTTAACCACTGTGCCACCATGCTATCATAGTGCTACCTAAAATGCTGATCTGCAGTAAAATAAGAGGCTTGCACCAAAATGTAAATCATTGCACTGCTTCCTTCATCAAGAAAGTCTTTTTATGGAGTTAAAAATGCAGTGTGCTTAGTGATAAGGAGCCCTGGTGGCACATTGGTTAAGTGGTTGTTATTAACTGAAAGGTTGGCAGTTTGAACCCACTGGCCACTTCGTGGGAGAAAGATGTGGCGGTCTGCCTTTGTAAAGATTTACAGCCTTGGAAACCGTGTGGGGCAGTTCTGCTTAAGACCTTAAGTACCCTACAAGTAGAAGAGACTATTTGGTCATCAAGCCTGTTTGCTTAAAACCATGGAGGATAGTACATATTTTCAATAATATTCCTTTAATAACTTAATATAATATCTAATCTATAGTATCTATCATAATATCTAACAGAACAAGAAACTGTTCCATAGTTTAAATCTTTCCATTTATGTCCTTTGTTCTTATTCTTTTCATCTTCAAGATAGCTGTTTATTAGGTTACCTAAAAAGCATAAGGACACAATGTACACAGGTAGACTGGAAGCTAAAGTGGACTCAGTTCTCAGAATAGCAAACAGAGAATGCATAAATCCTTTCGGATAGTGCTATTCAGAGTGTGGTTTATATACTGGCTGCCAGGCTATGGACTATTTGTTAACCAGTTCATGATAAAATAAGGAAGGAACTTTGCTAGTATGTAAATCAACTTATATCACTAAACACTCAAAAAACCCATTACTTCAAGTCGACTCCAACTCGTAGTGATCCTATAGGACACAGCAGAACTGCCCCACACAGTTTCCAAGGCTGTAAATCTTTACAAAGGCAGACCGCCACATCTTTCTCCCACAAGTGGCCAGTGGGTTCAAACTGCCAACCTTTCAGTTAATAACAAGTACTTAACCAATGTACCACCAGGGCTCCTTATCACTAAGCACACTGCATTTTTAACTCCATAAAAAGACTTTCTTGATGAAGGAAGCAGTGCAATGATTTACGTTTTGGTGCAAGCCCCTTATTTTACTGCAGATCAGCATTTTAGGTAGCACTATGATAGCATGGTGGCTCAGTGGTTAAGCATTCGGCTGCTAACCAATAGGTCGGCAGTTTGAATCCACCTGCTCCTTGGAAACCCTATGGGGCAGTTCTACTCTGTCCGATAAGGTCGCTATGAGTCAGAATTGACTCGACAGCAAAGGGTTTTTGTTTTGTTTTTTTTTTTATGATAGCATACAAATTTCTCTAGTCCTAATTGTAGCATCCTCTTTCTTTTAAGCTACCAAGATAAACCAGTCATTGTTGATCATAAAATGAATTTGAAAGTGCACTCTTGGAATCCTGTTTTCTACTCCTAGTCTAAGAATGAAAGAGAACGAAAGTCAGAATGAAATATAACAAACCTGATTCTGCAACTTACAAATAATGTAATAAAAAAAAGTTCCATTACTTTAGTCACACTTTAAACATTCAGCATGAGAAAAGCAGTCTATTTACATTTCAAAGATTTCTGGAACTTATCAATATTTCATTGACCTATTCTTTTTAAAGGCATAGTATTTTCATAAAAGTATCTGTACAGATTGATGAGATTTTTATTGGCTTTGCTGTTTTTCTTTTTTAAAGTATTATTCTACCAGTGCATACACCTAGAATGTGAAAAAAACCTCTGGAAGCAAGTCTGTATCAGTAGACCAATTGCTTTCAACAGATTTATGAATTTGTTCTACGTAAGGAAAACCTGTACAGGTGAAAATGTTGCCAAAGGGAAAAGTGAGTTCTTCATTTTCAACTGTGAGAAAAGGAATACTCATTGATTCTTCTCCCACATCTCTTCTCCTCTCCTCCAGAAGTTAGTCCTTTTTCTAACTATTATTGAGGAGAACTGGACCTAATTTATTGAATAGTCTTCCTGACACAAGCTTTCAGACTGCCAAAAGATGTCACTAGAGTAAAACAAAATGCTTTCTTCTCGTTCTAAGAACCGCAGTCAATTCTAGAAAAGCTCTAAACTGAGTGCTAAGAAAGGACAAAGATCAAAGGTCTTTACTTCTGATTCAAGTTTTAAAAGATTCTTGATATGTGAGTTAAGATATGTTTAACGTCCCAAATTTTAAATGACTTTAAAGATGCTGACTTCCAAAATACAGAACATTATTAAATTCAAAGAACTGCTGACTAATAACATGCAAAAGATTAGGCTCTGCAGAGCTAAAAATTATGGGATTTTTGCTTCAAAATAATCATCCTTATTATGTGAAAATGAGAAAAAATAGTACCTTAGGATTGACTGGTTTTCTGCGCTTTAAATTATAAAGAATATAAAAGTGTTTGAACTATAAATGAACTGTTTGGGATAAAATGCAACGCAATTAATTGTATTATTTAATATATCCTTTCAACTAAAATTCCATCAATTGCTGTTCTTGGTTAGAAGCACTCAAACAATAAGTTTTTCCTCTTTCAGCAGCACAATTTATATGCCACTGAAACAAAATGTCATTCCTTTAATAGTTACAATTTGAAAGTTTATAATTATCAATAACAATGAAAATGAAAATAAAAAAAGCAGATCTTACTAAACTACCTAAATCTGAATCCATACAAATAGTGCCACTTAATAAGAATAAAGTTTTCTACATGGAAAAAGTCAAAGAGAAATTACCTTTTCTTGAAGCAACTTGGAGGAAGCTGCATCGCGATTTCCTTTTCCACCAGCAGTATTAAAATGAGACCATGGTAAAACTGAATTAAAAGTTAAGGAATCGTCCAAGGCAAAATCTGGTTTCATAAAAATCTATTAAAAAAATGCATTTCTCTCAATTAGATAAACATTTTCTTTGCATCTGTTACCCCTTCTAACGTAGTAAGACCATTAAACAAAAAGTAAGTTGGATCTGAAGTATGAACAGCAAAAGCAAGTGACAATGGGCTGAGTTGTTTACATAAAGATCTGTATTTAAAAAAATATAAACAATGTTTCACCAAGCTTAAAATCCTCATGAAAGACATAAAAATGTATTTTTGCCTTTACAAACGGAGATGATCATTCCATTACTACTTGCCCAAACTCACTAATGGAGATCCACTGGGGACACACCAAGGGAGATATCATACTTATCCTAAAGACTGCCATATTATTTTCCATTTGGATACTGACTTTAAAAAAATGCCAAATATCATTGTCTCTATATTTATATTTTCTCCTGCTCAAAATTCTTTCTAAATTAATTTGTTTAGATTAGACACACATTAAATTTTAAAACCAAAAGTTCAGTTTTATGAAGAGACTACTCCTTTCCTTTCCCTTACATACCACATCCAGCTAGGCAATAAGTCCTACCCACTCTATTTCCTAAGTAGTCCGTGAATCCCCTCTCTCCTCTATCTCCACAGCAGCTTAGCAGTTCAGTTCTTTATCATCTCTGGATTATTGTAAATAACCACTTTACCGGCGTCCTTCCCCAATCTACCTCCCAGGTTCCTGTCAGAGATACCCTTCTAAATGCAAGTATAACTGTATAACTTCCTTGTTTAAAACTCAATAGACTTCCAAGACCCACAGGCCAAACTCCTTAGTATAGCATCCCAAATCCTTCATTTTTTCAGACCTCACCTACCTCTACAGCTCTGTATCTCGGCCCCTTCCATTATTTACATATTACACTCTAGCAATACTTGATTATCTTGCATACTGCTCTTATACTTCAGTATCTTTATACATGCTTTTGTGCATTCTCCTATCTTCCTGGAGAACATGCCCAACCAAAAGGACATATGTATCTCTGTGTCTGACAGATGCTAAATCACTCTGGCCTCTGAACGTAAGTATACCATGCATACTTAATTACTTAACTCATACTTCAGAGAGATTATTTATTTAATATGCATATTTCTCCAGAAACTACATGTTTCTAGAAGGTTGGATTTATAGTTTACTTATCTTTGTAACCCCAGAACCTAGCAGAGGGTCTGAAACATGGTTTAATTAATTAATATGCTATATTTTATTATATTTACTGATTCATTTCATTTACATCTGAAAATGTGTATGACTATGACAGGAAAAACTAACAAGGGACATGAGTAAATTTATATAATTATAAATTATATAATTTATCTGATTATAAATTATACTACCTTGCTTTGGCATTATAACTAAAAGCACTGATTAATTCAAAAAATATTTACTGATTGCTAGGCACTGCAGGAGAAACAAAGATAAATTATTACACATGTCCTAATCTCAAGAATCTCTGGTCCAAGAGATGTGATAAAATATGTATATAAATATCCTATAAGGGGAAGAGTGAAAATGCCTTAAAAGAGGGGTCTAGATAAAATCTATGGGAATTCAGCAAAGGGACCAATTACCTTCAGTTAGGAAGATCAAGAAAGTATTCATGTAAAGTTGCCATTTTAGCAAAAGATTGCAGAGAATTAGATACGAGAAGATGAAGAAAAAGTCTTCCAGGCTGAAAGAATAGTGCAAGTAAAGCATGGAGATAGGAAAAACCAGTTTGGCTGAAGTAAAGAACGCGTGAAGATTAGTAGGCAAAAGTTACGAGTGTGACTGCTGATGAAGTCAAGTGATTAAGGGTCTTAAATGACAGAGTTTGAATTTTATTTTGCAGAAATCAGAGAACTTAAAAAAATCACCTCCCTTGTCTTTCTTTCTTCTGTCTTTTTCTCACCCTAAAGAACAATTGTTGCAGACCTCTTTGAGAAACTGATGAGTGCAATAGACTCTCTCCCCGGAAAAAAAAAAATACATTTATTACCCATATCTACAAAATTTTTCATACAAAGAAAGTATCTCTTAACAATTTGAAGGAGTAGTAAGATCAAAAAATTGTTTTTTAGAATGGAAAGACTTAAATCTATTTGTAGTGTTCAGTGATGAAGAAGAGATTGATGATGCAAAAGAGAGAGAGGAAAAGTGATGCAACAAAGTCTCAGGAGAAGTAAAGTGGCCAAAGTGTCAGAAAACAGCCAAATGAAAGCTTCTTCCAAAGCAAAATTAAAGATCAACTATTAAAAAGCAGTATTTTCATTTTTTAAGCTTTTTTACCTTAGGTACTTGCTCCAGATCTGTCCTGGATTTATCTATGAGAAAAGTAAAAGAGAAAATATGATTTTTTTTAAAACTTGCTTTCATTTTACCTTCACAAAATATATTTTTACAGATTCAATATTGTACTAGGTCAAATCACATAACTAAAATTTCTTCCTTCAACAAGTACCTACAAAGTATCTATTATATGCCTAATAAAAGGCAAAGCACTGAATATAACATATATTTCAAATAATTTTAATCAACTGTACAGCAGCAATATAACAGCCATCTACATTTCAAATCTTTTTCAAGTGGTCACAGAAAACCTGATACTATTTTATTAAGTTTTGGTGAGATTAAGTTTGGCATGATGCAAATCTAACATAATGAATTAAACTCTAAAATAAAAATGCTCTATTTGTATTGTTCAAAATATCCATCATCTCATCCAGAATTTCTTATAATCACAGACTGCTTTTTTATACTGTATTAAATAAAAAGGAACACTTTTCTTCTTAGACATCTTAGTTTGTATCACCTACAAACTTATCTGCAACAAATAGTTAATGAGCTTGGCTGCTAACCAAAAGGTTGGTGGTTTGAGGTCCACCCTGAGGCACTTCACAAGTAAGGCCTGGCAATCTACTTCTGAAAAAACCACTGAAAAGCCTATGGAGCACGGTTCTACTCTGACACACATGGGGTCACCATGAGTTGGAGTCGACTCAACAGCAACTGCTGCCAAAACCAACCTTTCTGCACTTGGCTTCCATTCCCTCCTGCCTCTTCTTTTACCTTGCTCTATCAATTACCCCCAAAATCAATCTTCAACCTATTCTTAATGCTAGCTCTTTCCTGTCTGCTTACAAACATGCTCAGTTTGCAGTTCTCTCAAAACAAAGAGAAAAAATGAGAAAAAAAAGAGAAAGATAAAAAAAAACCCAGAGCAGACACTAAATTGAGGCAAGGGAGACACTTAGGATGCAAAATTTAAGGAAGTACTCACAGTCACTCTCAGGGTTAGATGAGTGCCTCTATTGCCTCATCTAGTTCTGGCCCTGAAAAAAAAAATCCTTCCACTCTATTCCCTCTAGCCAATACCCCATCTCAAATCCATACATCCATACTTGTAGTCCCCATTTATTTCTCTTGTACTCACTCTTTAATACATAGTATTGAGGTTTCTATAACCACCATTCAAGTATAAATGCTCTCCCTAAGTGGAACTCTCTCTTAGTTGACCCTCCTAGCTCTCTTACCACTACTTCTTAGTCTCCTTTACAGGTGCCTCATCTTCTACCTGCCCCTTAAGTGTACATCTTTCTAAGGTTCTATGATCATTCCTCTTCTCACTATTCACATTCTCCCTGGGTGACCCCATCCATGCCCCTGGATTCAACCACCGTCCCTCTCTTTCCTGAGCTCCAGGTTGTCCACTAGACATTTTCTTCTCTCTGCAAACCTCCAACTAAAGTAGCCTCCATCAGCTCCAAAATTATTCTTCCTATATGCCTTTCTCACTGAATTGCACTTCACCTAGCCAGCTATCCAAGCCAGATACCTGGGAGTCATGTTTGAATCATCTTACTCTATTACCAATCCTACTGGCCACCAAAATCTGTGCCTTGATTTCTGAAGTATCTCTCAAAGACCCAACTTCCTCTGTATCTCCACTGTAACTGTTACTGGGCTACATCCTTTCTCACTTGTATTACTGCAATAGCCTCCAACTGTCTCCTTGCCTCCAGTGTCCCACAACTGATTATCCACAACTGCTTCCACAGTGAAATGTATAATCATAAAACTGATCAAGTCTGCTAAAAAACCTTTTGAAGCTCTCTACTGTCTTTGGAAAAAAAATTCCTTAGCATACGTACAGAACTCTTGCAGTGCCTTGAGCTGTGTTCTCTCTTGACTACGTGGCTTTGTATAAACACTTTCCTTTTCCTGGAGTGCCTTTTCCCACAAAAATCTTATGAGCTAGCTACTTGAAGACACAATCAACATCAGGAAGCCTTCTAAGGCTAAATTAGGAACTCTGTACAATCTTATCACACTGAACTTACCATTTAATATACAATGCTGTAATTGCTGGTTTATTTATTTAACCTTAGTCAGAAGATCATCAACTCCTCGAGGAGAGGGACTATTTCTTCTTCATCTATTTTTAAGCTACAAGCCAAGGGCCTAGCACCCAGATATTCAATAAATATTTGTTCAAAGATAACACTACAATCAGACATATAATTTCTCTCTCAAAAGCTTTTAGAAAAGATTATGATCATAGGTTATTAAAATTTTAATAAAAATAAAAATCATAGCTATGACAGCAAATGAAGTCCCGTAACTAAAATGTTTTTCATTAATACTTCTCCTATGTTTTATTATCTACAAAAAGCACATATTCATACCATGAGTATGTAAGAGAGTCCTGTCAAAGGTATCTTTAGGAGGACAAATATTCTTGCATCTCTCATGAATCTTCTCTCTCTAATAAAAAGACAATTCATACTGTGAGCAACACTATATGGCAATGAGTATTCAAAGCATCAAAATATTTCACAACAGAATATCAAATATGCCACATTAGTTCTATAATTTTTAATATGAATCACTAGCTTTTTTAATTGAAATAAAAATAACAAGGGTGCTTAAAATCAAATACCATTATGACATATATACGTATAGTAGTATCTTCATAAATTTAGAATGTAGTGAGAAAGCAAATGGAAAATGTTTATTTAAATATCAGAAATCAATTAAGAGAACAATGTTTTTAAATGATAGAAGAAAACCTGAAAACCTATATGCTTAAGATAGAAATTAGTTATTGACACTTTCCCTGATTAAACACACACACACACACACACACACACACACAAATCCCATTCTGATTTCGGATTAGACAACCACTGACAATATCATTATCTTCGCAGAGATTCCATAGGTAGAACATCTAGGAAAGTGGCAAAGAGTACAGTAAAGAAAAGAAAAACACTGGGCTAGTAGTGTTCAGAGTTCTGCTAATAGTTTTGTCTAATAGGGTTCATTCCTTTTCTTTTTAAGAATTTTATGACCTATTCTTGTGTTCATTTTTTTCCAGATAAAACTTTAGTATCTTTTTTGCTTTGTTCATAAGTTAGTATTTTTAATAGCTAAAGAGGTATAACTGACATACAATTAACTGCACATATTTAAAGTGTACAATTTGATAAGCATTGCCATATGCATACACCAGTGAAACCATCACCACAATCAAGAGAGTAAACGTATCCATGACCTTCAAATTCCCTCATGCATCTTTATAATTCTCCCTTCCTTCACTCCCTGCCCCCACCCAGGACACCACTGACCTACTTTCTGTCATTATAGATTAGTTTGCAATTTCTAGAGTTTTATGCAGATGGAATCATACAGTATGTACGCTTTTTTCACTCAGCATAATTACTTTGAAATTCATCCATGTTTTTTGTGTATCAACAGTTCATTCCTTTTTCACACAAAAATCTGTATGCAAATGTCCATAGTGACTCTATTCATAATATCCCGAAACTGAAAATAATACAGATGCCCTACAATAGGTGTATGGTTAAACAAAGCGTGGTACATCCATACCAGGAATTACTACTCCACCAATAAATGGAATGAACTTCTGAGACAAGCAAAAATTTAGATGTATCTCCAGGAATTATGCTAAGTGACAAAAGCCAATCTCAAAAGGTTACAAACTATATGATTCCATTTATATAACATTCTTGAAATGACAAAATTATAGAAATGGAGAACAGACTGATTACTAGTTGCCAGCGATTAAGGAGAGGTTGTGGGCAGGAGGGACCAGGTGTGGTTTATGAAACGGCAACAAAGAAATATCCTTGTTGTGCTGCAATTGTTCTGTATTTAGACTGTATCAACATCAATATCCTAGTTGTGACATTGTACTATCATTTTACAAGATATTATCATTGAGGAAAACTGAGTAAAGGGTACCCAGGACCTTTATTATTTCTCAACTGTATGTGCATCTACAGTTATATCAAATATAACACTTAATTTAATAATTAAAAAAATAGTTCATTCCTTTTTAGTGCTCAGTATGGACTATATGGACATAACACAATTTGTTTATCCATTCAACTGTTAATTTAGGTTGTTTCCAGTTTGAGGGTATTACAAATAAAGCTGCTGTGAATATTTAAATACAAGTCTTTGCATGGACATTGTTTTCATTTCTCTTAGACAGATACCTAGGACTCGAAACGCAGGATCATATGGCTGGTATATGTTTAACTTTTTTAGACTGTCCTCCTGTTTTCCAAAGTGGTTGCACCACTTTAAATTCCCACCAACAGTACTGGAGAATTCCAGTTCCTCCACTGGGGCCTGGACTAGGGAGAGCAAACAAGGAGCCTAGGGTACAATATTTAAGGAGGCCCCACTCTCAGGTTCTGATTTTGCACCCTAGGCACCTAGCTTGCTTCATTCTAGTCTCAACCCTGTCTTCCACATCCTCACCAAAACTCAGAAGAATTTGTATAGACTTGGTATTATTCTTCATTAAATGTTTGCTAGAATTCACTAGTGAAGCCATATGGATCTAAAGTTTTCTTTGTGGAAATGTTAACTACACATTCAATTTCCTTAATAAATATAAGGTGATTCAGTTATCTATTTCACCTGGATAGAGCTTGAAAAATTTATGCCTGTCAAGGAATTTGTCCATTTAAGTTGCTGAATTTATTGGCATAAAGATAGTCATAATATTCCGTTATACAGCCTTTGAATCTCGGTAGAATCTATAGTGATGTCACCTCTCTCGTTCTTATTATTGGTGATATGGACCTTCTCTCTTTTTTTTGTGATCAGTCTGGCTAGAGGTTTATCAGTTTTATTGATCTCAAACTTTTATTGATTGCAAAGCTTTCAGCTTAATTTTTTTGTTTGAAGTTTTTATTTTCTCTATTGTTTATTTTCTATTTCATTGATTTCCATTTTAATCTTTATTCTTTCCTTCTTCTGTTTACTTTGGGTTTAATCTGTTCTTCTTTTTCTAGTTCTTAAGGTGGAAGCTGAGGTCACTGATTTGAGAACTGTCTTCTTTTCTAATATATCTGTTTAGGGCCATTAATTCCTCCTTAAGTACTACCTGAGCACAAATTCTGGTACATTGTGTTTTCATCTCCATTCAGCTCAAAATACTTTCTAATGTTCCTTTCCTCTTTGGCCCACATGTTATTTAGAAGTATAAGTTTTGGTTTCCAAATACAGTAAAACCTGCATAAGCCAGAACCTGTGTAAGGCCGAAATCTGTCAGAGAAGAAAAACTCAAATATTTTCCACTAAGAGAGAGAAACAGAAAAGTGGTAAGACTGCACCCTGTCAAAGGCAGAAAATTTACCCAGGAAAACAAGGGGAGGGAGTGTGAGGGTTATTTACTAACTAGATAGTAGATAAGAATTATCTTAGGTGAAGGGAAGGACAGCACACACTACAGGGAAAGTCAGCGCAACTGGACTAAACCAAACCTAAGAAGTTTCCTGAATACAATCAAACACTCTGAGGGACAGAGTAGCATGGGTAGGGGTCTGGGAACCATGCTTTCAGGGGACATCTAGGTCAACTTGCATAACAAAGCTTATTAAGAAAATGTTCTGCATCCTACTCTGGTGAGTGGCATCTGGGGTATTAAAAGCTTGCAAGCGGCCATCTAAGATGCATCAATTAGTCCCAATCACCTGCAGTAAAGGAGAATGAAGAACACCAAAGACACAAGGAAAGTAGTAGCCCAAGAGACAGAAAGGGCCACATAAACCAAAGACATCATCAGCCTGAGACCAGAAGAACTAGATGGTGCCTAGCTACCACCAATGACCGCCCTGACAGGGAACACAACAGAGAGTCCCAGATGGAGCAGGAGAAAGGTGGAGTGAAGAACTCAAATTCTAGTAAAAAGGCTGGATTTAATGGTCGGACTGAGACTGGAGGAACCCCAGAAAGCACAGCCCCCAGACTCTCTGTCAACCCAAAACTAAAACAATTTCCAAGGCCAACTCTTCAGACAGGGATTGGACTGGACTGTGGGACATAAAGTGATACTCGTGAGGAGTGTGCCTCTTAGCTCAAGTAGATACAAGAAACTAAACAGGCAGCTTCTGTCCGGAGGTGAGATGGGAAGGCAGAGAGGGTTAGGAGCTGGTTGAGTGGACAAGGGGAATCAGGGCTGGAAAGAAGGAATGTGCTGTCACAGTATGGGGACAGCAATTAGGGTCACATAACAATGTATGTATAAATTTTTGTATGGGAGACTAACCTGAAATGTAAACTTCATATAAACTACAATAAACAAACAAAAAAATTTTAATTGTATATCTGAAATTCAAATTTAACTGGGCATTCTGTGTTTTTACTTGCTAAACCCTGCAATCCTATGTATACTACAAAGAACCTTACAATAGTATAATTCCATTTCTCCCCTCAGAGCCTTTAACTATTGTCATATATTTTATTTTTACATATGTAATATGCTCCACAATACACTGTTATTAATTTTACTTAAATAGGTATCTTTTAAAGAGGTTTACACAATAAGGAAAAATCTTATATATTTACCCATGTAGTTACCATTTCTGGTGCTCTTGATTTCTCTGTGTAGATCCAGATCACCATCTGGTATCATTTTCCTTCTGCCTGAAAGACTTTTTTTATGTTTATTATAGTGCAGGTAGTCTGCTGGTGTGAATTCTTTCAGCTTTTTTATGTCTACTGTGTCTTTATTTCACCTTCATCTTTGAAGGATATTTTTGCTGGGTATAGAATTCTAGGTTGTCAGTTTTTTCTGTCAGGATTTTAAAGATGTTCTTCCATTATCTTCTCACTTCAAATGAGTAATCTGTCATTACACTTATCATTATTCCTCTGTATATAACATGTCTTTTTTCTCTGGCTGTTTTTAAGGTTTTTCTCCTTTTCAATGACTTTGAACAATTTGATTATGATGTGCCATGGTGTAATTTTCTTCATGTTTCTTCTGTCTGTTGAGCTTCACAGACCTACGAGCTTATAGTTTTCATCAACTTTCAACATTTTTCGGCTACTATTTTTTCAAAATTTTTTAGGTTCCCTCCCCTTCTTCAAGGACTCCAATTACATGTGTAATGTTGCGGTCGCTGTTGCTGTTAGCTGCCATTGAGTCAGCTCCCGATTCATGGTGACCCCATTCACAATGGAATGAAACACTGCCTGGTCCTGCATCATCCCATGATCAGTCGCAAATTGGACCATTGTGATCCACAGAGTTTTCACTGGCTGATTTTTGGAAGTAGATAGTCAGGGCTTTCTTCCTAGTCCATCTTAATCTGGAAACACCACTGAAACCTGTTTGGCATCATAGCAATATCAAGCCTCCACTGACAGACAGGTGGTGACTGCACATGAGGTGTACTGGCCAGAAATCAAACCTGGGTCTCCTGCATGGAAGGTGAAAATTCTACCACTGAACCACCAATGCCTCATACATATAACAGGCCATATGAAACTGTCTCACATCACTGATGTTCTTTCATTTTCTTTTTATTCTTTTTTACTTTGTTTCATTTTGAATAGTATCTATTGCTATGTTTTCAAGTTCACTAACATTTCTTTGGCAATGTCTAATCTGCCATTAATCCCATTTGGGCATTTTCATCTCACATATTGTAGTTTTTAATCTCTAGAAGTTTGATTTGGACTTTTTCGAACATACGGAATACAGTTATAAGATATATTTTGATGCCCTTTTATGGTAATCCTAACATTTGTATCAGTTCTGGGTCAGTTCAATTGACTGATTATTCTTCTAATTTGGGGCCATGTTTTCTTATGTCTTCACATGCTTGGTAATCTTTGATTAGATGCCAGACATTGTAAATTTTACCGTTTCGGGTGGTGCATATTTTAATATTCCTATAAACATTCCTGAGTTTTTTTCTAGGATGCAGTTACATTATCTGGAGATCATTTTCATCCTCTTCTGTTTTGCTTTTAGATTTGTTAGGCAGGTCCAGAGCAGTGCCCAGTCCAGGGCTAATTATTCCCCACTACCAAGGCAAGAGTTCCCTAAGTACTCTACCTATTTCCTCATGAATTACGAGTTTTTCCAGTGTGCCTGGTGACAACAGGCACTATTCCTGGTTCTTTGTGAGGAATGGGCAACATTCCTCGTTCCTCCTAATTCTTTCAGATAGTTCCTTCTCTGACCTTGGTTAATTTACCCAAGTGTTTTTGTTTGCTGTTAACTGCCTTTGAGTTGATTTTGACTCATGGCGACCCCGTGTGTGCGGAGGAGAACTGCGCCATGGGGTTTTCAAGGCTGTGATCTTTCAGAAGTAGATCACTAGGCCTGTCTTCTGAGAAACCTCTGGGTGGGTTTGAACTGCCAACCTTTAGGTTAGCAGTCAATCTCAAACCACTTGTGCCAACCCTAAATATGCAATCAGATTCCTAAAATTCTATTTTACATGTACTTTTGTATTTCAACATATTACTGAACAACGTCCAGACAGATCTGACAGCTGAAGACAGAATACCAAAAATTCTAGATAATATACGGCAATACACACATACAAAGATAAATAATATTTACAGGTTCCGTATAAAAATATTAGATAGTACTAAAAATGAGCCAGATACTGTACAGTATTAATGCCAATGACACAGCCATATCCAGTCTATCTCCAATCACAAAAAGAGCAAAGTAATCAAGTAAAATAAAATCAGTTAAATCCAAACTAAGCTTGCTAACAAAAAAGTATAAAAAGGAATAATTATACAATAGAAATAAATAAATGATTTTTTTTTTTGAAGACTGAAATGGTAACTAGAATTATACTGTCAACAGCTAATCACTAAGAGTCCAAAAATGAACAACAGGCTGTCTCAAACTCAGCTCTGCTCTCAGCTCTGGCTCTCAGAATCAAGTTTAAAGCAACATACTGGTTACAATTATATCTGGAGACAGCAATACTATTTGCTAGAGCTAAGATGTACTATTAAACTGTCTGTGGTGAATGGGACACACAGAAACAGTTCTACTCTGCTAATTTTACTTAAACCTCCCAGTTCTCCTGGCCTTTATATTTATTGGCCTAACAGAACCATTTTCTCCTTAGTAAGTGTAGTAGATTGAATAGTGTCCCCCCAAAATTCATATCCACCTAGAACCACAGAATGTGACCTTATTTGGAGTAAGGGTCTTTGCAGATGTAATTAGTTAAGATGAGGTCACAATGAACTAAGGTGAGCCCTAAATCCAATAACTGGTGTCCTTATGAAAGGAGGAGAGGATTACAAAGAGACACACAGAGAAGAAGGCCATGTGAAGACAGAGGCAGAGATCAAAGTGATACATCTACAAGTCAAGAAACGTCAAAGATTGCTGGGAGCCACCAGAAGCTAAGAAAAAGCAAGGAAGGATTCTTCCCTAGATCTTTCAGAGTGAGCATGGTTCTGCCAACACCTTAATTTCAGACATCTAGCATCCAGCACCGTGAGAAAATAAAGTTCTCTTGTTTTAAGACACTAAGTGTACTGTACTTTGTTACAGCAGCCCTAGGAAACTAACACAGTAGGTAAGGTGGGTTTCATGTTGAACATTAACATTTCTCAGGAATGGTAATTCTGAAAAATCACAATAAGCAAGATAAATTTATTTAAATATATTTGAGCAAAAAATTAGACAGTATAACCCAGGACAGTAGAATTTATATGCACAGAAAATAACACAGAAAAAATTCTCAAAAGAAAAATTCTCAAAAAGGCAAACTAAAAATCTTTCTGACTATTGCTTTTGACTGACTATAACTAACTTCAAGATCAGACATTACCTGAGAGATTTCCTGCTGATATGCTGTAAAATGTTCCTTGCTGATCTGAGGGAGGTAGAATGAAGGTATGACTTCGGTGTCCACAAAGTCCAATCCCCATGTTTTTGTGAAGAAGTCAGATTCTCTTTTTGCTAATCTAGGATCATTTAACGCTGCTGGAAGATTTACTTTGGAATGATATATAGTCCATCTATGTTGATCTGTAACTAGAGATGGGGCAACACATAAACTATTTGTATCACCTGCAAAAAGTAAACAAAAGAACTCTTTAAAGTTGGTTCTATGTTTGCAAGTACATCCTAAGAAAATAAAAATGCTGAGATTCTATTTTATTCAAACCAACTAAACTTTCTCTTTCATAGCAAGTGTTTTAATAAAAATCAGTCTGATTAAATAATTTTCAGCTTTGAGCATCAATTCCCAAGGCGGGGTGGGGTTGCGTATAAAAGATCAAGAATACGTAAAATGTGAGGCTGTAGTTGTGCAGCAGGGAGAATGGTAGGAAAAAATAAGTCACGAATTCCCTTCCTTAATGTATAATTGCTCTATCATTTTTTTCAACATCAAAACTCTGCTACCTTCAATTGTATATCTTCTACCTTTTAACATCCCTTGTCTTTTTCAGGGTTAGGCCTTTTTCTATTATATTATGGCAGATACTCCTCGCTCCAATATCCATTGTCTCGCTTACAATTAGATGACATGAATGCTATTTTGGCACTAACCACTGAGGCAAGAAAAATACTTAACGAACAGCTTTCAATCTGTACCTTCATTTTCAGTGCTCTTTTTCAGTTTATATAAGTAACGTCTTTTATGAAATGCATGAAAAGAACTATATTCCAATTTCTCAACGTTTTTCCAGATCTTCACAGACAGGTAAATTAATCATACCTCTTTAGTTTCAACATCATAAAATTTACTCTTTTTAAGATAATGACTTAAACGACTACTCATTTAAAGATAATACAAATGCTTAATAAAAATAAAGCATTACCTGTGGGTTCCTTGGGACACACATCTGGCAGTGACTGCACAGTTCGTATGTGTTTTGTTGGATCCACCTCTTTTTTAAAGAAAACATCACTGCTGCTTCCTTGAGGCACTGGTGAAGAACTGTGGCTTGAAGCCATTGCATAAAATCACCACTCAACTGAAAATGAGTAAGAAGTAAATAACAGTCAAGGCACAATACAAATCAAAATTCATCTATAAGTATCATACATGCCACACACTTTCTTTCAAACAGAAATGCTCTGTCAAAGTCTGTCAAAGTATAAGTATACAATTTGAATATTCACTGTTAGTTGTGAAAGTGTTTTTCATAATATTTAGTTTGCTAAAAATGTTATTTGTCCTTGTTAAAAAAATTCTCCCCAAACTGAAACATCCTTTTATCCAAAGTGCCAATAAATACCAATGTTGTACCCAATATATACTAAAGATTCATTCACTCCATTTATTGAACAAGTACAGCAGAATGGATAAGAACATAGGTTTTTGAAGTCTGACTGTCTATATTCGTATTCCAACTTCACTCACCAGCAGTATAACCTAGAGGAAATTACTTAACTTTTGTGTGCCTTTCCTTATCTGTAAAATGAAGATAAGAGATCCCATCTTGACCATGGTCTTGGGGAACATTTAGCTCAATTGGCACAACATAGTTTATAAAGAAAATGTTCTATATTCTACTTTGGTGAGTAACGTCTGGGGTCTTAAAAGCCTGTGAGTGGCCATCTAAGATACTCCACTGGTCTCACCCCTTCGGGAGCGAGGGAGAATAAAGAAAACTAAAGATACAAGGGAAAGATTAGTCCAAAGGATGAATGCACCACAACTACCACAGCCTCCACCAGACTGAGTCCAGTACAACTAGATGGTGCCCGGTTACCACCACCAAACGATCTAACAGGGATCACAATAGAGGGTCCTGGACAGAGCTGGAGAAAAACGTAGAACAAAATTCTAACTCACAAAAAAAGACCAGACTTACTGGCCTGACAAAGAGACTGGAGAAACCCTGAGAGTATGGCCCGCAGACACCCTTTTAGCTCAGTAATGAAGTCACTCCTGAGGTTCACCCTTCAGCCAAAGATTAGACAGGCCCATAAAACAAAATGAGACTAAGGGGCACACCAGCCCAGGGGCAAGGACTACAAGGCAGGAGGGCACAGGAAAGCTGGTAATAGGGAACCCACGGTCAAGAAGGGAGAGTGCTGACATGTGGGGTTGTTAACCAATGTCATAAAACAATGTGTGTACTATTTAATGAGAAGCTAGTTTGTTCTATAAACCTTCATCTAAAGTACAATTAAAAAAAAAAGAGAGATCCCATCGCATAAACACATTGTGAGAATTAAAGGAAATATATGTATAGAAATGTATATATAAAGCATTTAAAATAATGCCTGGCTCAAACTTAGTGTTCATGAATGTTATCTACTATCATTATGATTATTACTCTGTTACTGTCACTATGTTAAATGACTATAATATAAAAGAAGTGACACTCTTCAAGGAGCTTGCAATTGCATTAAGTTATTAAAACAAATGTATATAAGCAAAACACAAGTCAATCTATGTCTACATTTTTTAGTAAGTGTTGAAAGAACCCATTGGGCAGGACAACATAATATAGGCTACAGTGTAAGACTTTATGAATGAAACCATGCTGAATACTGGATACTGAAAAATGTGTTCTTTTATTATTGGAGGGTAGATAATCTTATATTGTTGAGCATATCTATAATAGGCAATCAACAAATATTTCCAAATGAAGGAATAAACGAATGAATATAAACACAAGATTATAGCCAAAAGGGAAATTAGAGATCACATGGTATAAGTTTCCTCACACTAGAGATAAGTACAGCAAGGCCCAGAAAGATACACATGATTTCACAAGGAAAAAAAAATCAAGTTAGGAAATTTGGTAAATAGAAAAATAAGAATAGGAATAAGAAGTAGAGATACAAGGCTAGAACCCATGACAAAAAGTTTAGATTAGTCTATCCACACAAACTCCCTTTAGTTTTCTCGAAAGCTAAAAATTACATTTTCCAGACTTCACTGTAGATCGGTCTCTGTACTTCCAACACAAGGAAACAATCAATTACATCCTTCACTGAGACTATAAGGATAAGCAAGTTGCTAAGAAAATATACAAAGATAAACAACTTACTCAAGGTCCCTGAACAGAAAGTGTACAATACCACGAGCAAAGGTTAGGGGGCATGGAATCATCATAAGACAGTGTGGGAACTGACCTGGCTAGAATGGAATGTTTGTGTTGGTAAGTAGTGACAATTAAACTATATTTACACACACACACACACACACACACACACACACACACACACACACTCACACACAGAGTATGGCCAGACTATAGTTGGTTCTTTAGGCAATAAGGAGCCATTAGAGGTTTGGAGGCAAAAGAGTACTACCATGAAAACGATTGTTTGGGAAATTAATCAGGGCCTTGGTTTGAAAGGCATCACTGGCCTGTTGCATATAACATCTATACACACAGACACTAACTGCATGAATGTTCTATATAAAAATATATGCATATTGAAGAGAGAACAAATATCTAAAGGATAAGAAACATTACATTGCATGATACAGAATAATGTACGTTAAGTGTTTGGTAAAGACAATCCTAAACTTAAGATTTAATCTGTTTAACTTATTTTTTTTTAATTTCCATCAAATAAAACGGTCAAAATAAACACATTTTAGCACTTAAAGAAGTAAGCTTCAGATATATGGAAAATATATTTATATGAGATGTCTACTGCTTGGTGTCCACTAAATAAGGTGTTGATTCCAACAACAGTACATTACTATTTCAATTTGTTCTATTTATCATCATTTTGTTTTTACAAAGCAAAAGAAATCCTAAGTGCCATCTTAAACCCGTTGCCATCGAGTCTATTCTGGCTCACAGCAACCCTCCAGGACACAGTAGAATTGCCCCATAGGGTTGCCTAGGCTGAAGTCTTTATGGAAGCACACTGCCACATCTTTCACGCGTGGAGGGCTGGTGGGTTCAAACAACCAGCCTTTCAGAGAGCAGCCGAGCACCTGTCCACTGCACCACCAGGGCCATCTTAGGAAGCTAGAAATGTCCAGGGAGATGGAGAAATGTGGAAAGACATTTCTGAACCCATGTAAGCTACTTCTATATCAGAGGAGGGCAGCAGGGAGGAAGACCACCACCTTATTCACTCCCTACAGATTCTGAATTAGGAAGCAAATGCAGGTTTTGGCGGGGGGGGGGGGTTTGTTGTTGTTTGTTTGTTTTTTCCCTATACCTCTCCTCCTCATTCTCCTTATGGGGGGAAATCTCTATTTACAAAGGGGTTATGTAAAATCAGAGGATTGTCTATATAGGGGAGCTCCAATTTCTAACAATTTAACTCTCCATTCCCTTCACCATCCTGAGTTTATCATTAAGAAGATCTCACCAAGGTAAGATCCAAAATTTGTATTAATGACCACATAACAACTATGATGCAGACACTTAGCAAATACAATTGTTGGTAATAAAATATAATGGATTTATTCATAAGGCATAGATGTATAAACAAATACAGCAAATCCAAATGGCCTTTGAACCAAACAATGTCAACAGAGAAATAATCTTTCATAGAAAGACTGAAGAACAGAAATCAGACACCTTGATAAGGTTTTAGTGTAAGCTTAGTCTGTCTATCCAGAGAAAAACTAATTAGCAAAAACAAAAATACACAAAAAACACCAGAATACAAAATAAAGTTCTAAGCACTAAATGTAAGTAACCCCTGATCTGATAGTTGAATTTGTAACTACTATCTAGAAAAAAATGCAGCATTTAGTCATTGCTCACCTACAATGAAAATCTATTAACAGCGCTACCGTTCTTCACATGGTACACTCCTCTTAATTATTTCAATACCATGCTCAAACTTTATCTTCTCCTGAAGCCTTCTTTGGCTTCTTACACATACTTAATCACTCTTTATGTATTTCTATTTTTGCACCAATCAAACTGAATTGTAAGTTTTGGTTTCCATACGGGTCTTCCCTATTAGATTGTTAACTTCTTAATGTTTCTGTTTTCCTGTGCATTCCATGTGAGTAACACAGTGGCTGGCGCAAGGACTGTTATTAGGTCAGAAACAACTCACAGCAACCATACGTACAACAGAACAAAACACTGCCCAGTACTGTGCCATCCTCACAATCATTGCTATGTTTTAACCCACTGTTGCAGCCACTGCGTCAATACACCTCGTCAAGGGTCTTCCTCTTTTACAATGATCCTCTATCTTACCAAGCATGATGGTCTTCTCCAAGGACTCGTCCCTCCTGATAACATGTCCAAAGTACATGAGACGAAGTCTCACCATCCTGGAGGAGCACTCTGGCGGGACTTCTTCCAAGACAGACTTGTTCATTCTTCTGAAAGTCCATGGTATATTCAATATTCTTTGCCAACACCATCATTCAAAGGCATCAATTCTTCTCCAGTCTTCCTTATTCATGGCCCAGCTTTCGCATGCATATGAGGCGACTGAAAATACCATACCTTGGGTCAAGTGCACCTTAGTCCTCAAAGTGACATCTTTGCTTTTTAACACTTGAAAAGGTCTTTTGCAGCAGATATGCCCAATGCAATATGTCCTTTGATTTCCTGACTGCTGCTTCCATGGGTGTTGACTGTGGATCCAAGTAAAATGTAATTCTTGACAACTTCAGTATTTTTTCTGTTTATGATGATGTTGATTATTGGTCCAGTTGTGAGAATTTTTGTTCTCTTTATGTTGATGTGTAATCCATACTGAAGGCTGTAGCCTTTGATCTTCATCAGTAAGTGCTTCAAATCCTCTTCACTTTCAGCAAGCAAGGTTGTGTCATCTCCATATTGCAGGTTGTTAATGAGTCTCCTCTAATTCTGATGCAGCGTTCTTCTTCACAGAGTCCAGCTTCTCATATTATTTGCTCAGCATACAGATTGAATAAGTATGGTGAGAGGATACAATCCTGACACACACCTTTCCGGATTTTAAACCACGCAGCATCCCCCTGTTCTGTTTGAACGACTACCTCTTGGTCTATGTACAGGTTCCACATGAGCACAGTCAACTGTTCTGGAATTCCCACTCT